TGAGGCGGCGGCGCCGGCCCGCGCGCCCCTTGGGGCCGCCCCCGCACCCCGCTCGCCGGCGTCTGGCTCTCGTGATGATGAAGAAGAAGAAGTTTAAGTTTAAGGTGGACTTCGAGCTGGAGGAGCTCTCCTCGGTGCCCTTCGTCAATGGGGTCCTCTTCTGCAAGATGCGGCTGCTGGACGGCGGCAGCTTTACCGCAGAGTCCCCCAGGTAACGCGCCCTCCGCGCCCCACGAGCCGCTGCGCCCGCGCCTGCCCCGCAGGGGTTTCTTCGGTGGTCTGCTTGTCATTCCTCGGCCCATTTGCTCCAGGGGGAAGGCCAGCCTCGCGAGCTTCTCTTTCCCCAGGGACCAGTCTGAAATCAGTCAGGAGTTTATTGATCTGCACAAAGTGCTTCGCAAATGGGTCCATCTCAGCTGGGCTTGGCTCCTGCTTTCCTGATTCCAGATGGTGCCCGGTATCTGCGCTACCCTCCTAAATTCTCTGGGAATGGGAGCAGTGGCCAGAAGGGAGAGAATACTTCTGGTTTATCTTAAGACATTTCCATATTTGCGAAATGCAAAGTGGAACTTGAATTGTTGTTAAAACAAAAACAAAAATAACTCAAACTGCTTGAGTTCCAAGAGCCCTGGCTCTGAACAGAAACCTGTGTTTGGCGGAACTCCTTTTCTCTTGTTGCTTACTTGGGGACTCCGAAGCCCAGGATGCGGCCAGGGTAGGCCCGATCAGGCTTGACTTGAGTCAAGTGTTCCCTGGCAGATGAGACAACAGTCTGTGTCTCATCAGAGAGCTGCGTCTGCAGTTACGCGCTAACACTCACTGAATTACCAGTCTTGAGGTGGCCACTGGTGGCTCTCAATGTGAAGGACTTAGAACCATAAGGAGAGCCCAGACATGCCCTCATTTTGAAATGAGCCCCTGGGCACTCTCAGGGAGAGTCATTGGCAGGTTACAGAATGAAGCCAAGGGTGATAGTGTTCCTTGAGTCATGTAAGGTCTATTTGGTAGGTTGACAGATTTGCTGTAAGGTAAGTGTTCCTTAAGAAAATAGGAAATTTACAGAAACTTTTAAAATGAATTTTTAAGTTCCTGAGATCAAGGTAAGAGGTTAACAGTTAATGCTTATGTTGCCTAAATTTACTGCTCATATACTTTATTTTTACCCTAAAAATATTCTGCTTTCTTTTTACCTGTCATCCCTATTAGTGTAAAGGAAATAAGGTCAATGGGTTGTGGAATTGGGGTCAGAAAATTGTCTGCGGTGGCAACGCTGAAGCCTATAGAAGCCAGAAAATGTAAATGGCTAGTTGGCCAAAGCAAAGGATGTATAAAGCATTATCGACTCTCAGAATTAAAGAAATTAGCCAAGGATACTTTTTAAGATTAAACTGTGCTGCCAGATCTTTTGTGGCTATTCAGCTAATTAATTGCACTACAATCATTTTTAACACACTGGTGAGAGAACAGTGTGACTTAAAATGGTGCAGCAAATATTGTACCAGCTCTTCAAGTGTGGAAAAGCCAAAACCAATTCTTGAATGTCCTGTAGGTGCAAATGACTGTCTTACCCTGGGTCTTACCCTGTTTGCTGCAGGGTCCCACCCCGCCACTTCTGGCAGTTAGACCAGCTCTTCTGGGTCGCTGGTGACACCTGGTGGTCAGGGCACCTCTCTCTTACCTCATTCTCCCTCAGATTATTGATTTGGCTTGCTACTCGCAAGTCAGTTATTCCAGTATTGCAGGCAGTCATTTATTCAGCAAATACATGTAGGTTGGGTCCTTTAAGTATATTATCTTATTTCATTCTCACAGCAAACCTGTGAGGTAGGGATTCCCGTTTTGTGGATGAATAAACTGAGACTCAGAAAGCTTAACTTTCCCAAGGCCTGCAGATGTGGTAAGTAAAATGTCAAGATCTTGATACAGGTCTGTCTAATTTCAAACAGACTGATGCCAGATGAAGGAGAAAATTATGTGCTGTGCTGAATGGGGAGCTTCCTAATGATTTTAACAAGCAGGGGGTATAATTTGATTTCTAATTTGCAAGAATTGGAAAGGAAAAAGCGGAGTATCCTGGGTTCAACTTACCGCTTTCTCTTCCAACAACAATGTGGCCTTACCTCTACTGTTTGGAGGGAAATGATTTATAATAAGGAACCTGTGCCTTGTTAGGTAGAGGTGGTTGGTGTAAAGCTAAGAGCAAGGATTTAGAATGAGGCAGATCTGCATCTAAATCCCAACTGCACCATGATAAACCTGGGTGGGTTATTCAGCCTCTCAAAGTTTCCATCTATAAAATAGAAACCATCACTGGCATATAGGGTTGTTAAGAGGATTTAGTAAGATGATGTACCAAAAACAGCTATCACAGTGCTCTAGCACCCAATCAACATTCTTCTTTTAAGATTTCTTTATTTGTCAGAGAGAGAGAGAGAGAGTGCACACGCACAAGCAGGGAGAGCAGGAGGCTCCTCAGGAACCTGATGTAGGACTCGATCCCAGAACCCTGGGATCATGACCTGAGCCGAAAGCAGACGCTTAACCGACTGAGCCAGCCAGGCATCCACACCCAATCAACATTTAAAGAGAAGACAAGGCGCTTGTCCAAGAGGGTTTGCTTCCTTTAAGATGTTGATACTTAATTCCTTTATCCTGACAATTACAAAAGTGTTGGTTTGAAAAAAGCTACCTCATTTTACAAAAAAAAAAGAAAACTTGAAACACCTAAAGGATAGGAATTATTTTTAAATTGCATAACTTTTAATTCTTGGATGCCAGTCTAGGCATTGCATCTCTGATTAAATGCTAGATTTTCGGGGTACCTGGTGGCTCAGTCGTTAAGTGCCTGCCTTTGGCTCAGGTCATGATCCCAGGGTCCTGGGATCGAGCCCCACATCGGGCTCCCTGCTCAGCAGAAAGCCTGCTTCTCCCTCTCCCACCCCCCCTGCTTGTGTTCCCTCTGTCGCTGTCTCTCTCTGTCAAATAAATAAATAAAATCTTTAAAAAAAATAAAAATAAATAAATGCTAGATTTTAATTTTTTTAAAAATAAGGGGTGCCCGGGTGGCTCAGTCAGTTGTGTCCCACTCTTGATTTCAGCTCATGTCATGATCTTGGTCCTGAGATCAAGCTCCGATCTGGCTCCACGCTCCGTGTGGAGTCTCCTTGTCCCCCTACTCTGCTCCTCCCCTTCTAAAATAAATAAATTAATTAAATCTTAAATCTTTAAAATAAAAAACTGTTGCCAACCAAACAAAAAACAAAACCACAGTAGCTTTCCAGTGGAGCGTGCTGGGAGGATTAATTTGCATTAACAAGGAAGTGAGGATGAGAGGACAGCTTGAACAGGTCACCAGTAGGAGCTGGTGATAGCTCAGCCTGACTGCAGAGAGAGTTCACATTGAACAGAAGCAGAAGATAAAGACTTTGAATACCATTATAGTTTGCTTTCCACTGCTCATAGGATAAAAGTCAATTTGAGATTCTTGCACTAAGTTCTATTGTGATTAAAGTGGTATTTAAACTGGCTAGTTGGCTGATGTTTGTCATAGACGAGAAATGGGGAGACAAATTAGGAGTCTGTTAAAATAACCCAGGCAGGAGCTAGTAAGTACCTGAACTTGTAGGTTTTTCATATAAGTGGCTGATAACATGATAATGCTATGACAAAGGCCTTGATGACATGACAGAGTAAGAAAGTCAAGAAGAATCTTTGTTTTGTTCTGTTTTGTTGAGGTGTATCACGGTATGTGTGAGGTGTATT